CACTCAGACTCACCTCGACGGGATATCCCAGCAAGTCTGATGCCCTGTTGACGAAGTCTTTCCGCCCTTTCGGCCGGTGCCAATTCAGAGCGCTGATCCTCGGATTTGTTTCCCACTAAGGCCTTGACTTGGGCGATCATCAAGGTCTGACTTTCAAAAGCCAACCTCCTGAGAGCAGCAGTGGTTGCTACCGGTATGTCCTCATCAGCCTCACGAACAAGGGCATTCAACTTATCATCAGATGGTGTCTCACCTGGCTGCCCGGCTGCAAAAGCAAACTTTGCAACCGTGTTGACCCCCGAGGCCAGCAACCGATCCTTTGCCACATCTGGAACCCCCGCTAGCTTGATTCGATCTAGGAAAACAGGCTGGGACTCCGTGAAAGCATTCGCCATGGCTGCCTACAGCTCCGATCCGAAAATGAACTGACACATCCAAGTGCATGTCCACACTCCGAACGACACATGCACTCAAACGTGATCTGCGGCTGCTGGCATGCTGCCTGGCGATTTATCAAACAAGACCTGAGTCTGTCGGCAATGCAGGCGATTTCTCAAACAAGACCTGAGTCTGTCGGTAATGTTCCCTTGCTCGCCCTCCGAACTGCACATGCACAAAGGTCAGACGTCAATTGTAGTCTGCCGCCAATGTACATCTTTAGCACCTCATGCACACGTGCGATGGGCGAACTTGTTGCCTGTCGGCAATTCGTGTCGAGAGGAGCCTTTATACTACTATGCACCAGGCGAAGAACTGTGTCGGGCACCTCACCCGATCACGAACTCATGTACTGAAGATTTCATCGAGCACACAAACGTGCGCCGGGCAAATCCCGGTCGCGAACGTTGAGAGCTTGCGCCACGCTCTTCTTTTAGCCGCCTGATGCACATGTGCAGGGCATGGCCGCTGCACGAACCATCTCAACTGGGCTGCACAGAGCATGGCTTCTGCGCGAACAAACCGATGGGTTCTGAGCCGCTCACCGCTGGCGACTGCCCAGTCTTGAGTTTATGAAATTGGCTGCCGCTCCCGAATCTCTAATCGGGCGTCCAGCCATGCACTGCTTGCATCGCCAGGTCTTGCTATGCACTCTACCAACAAAAAGCTTCATGCCACTCACACTCCGACCACAAATCAATGGACCTGATGATCCCTTAGCGCGGCCATGAAGTGACAGGGTCCTCGGGTTCTGGTACACATCCAAATCCACTCCAAACTCAACCTGAGGGGCCAACTTCTCGATCTCGGGTGCAGATGAAAGGACCTCGTACTTGCGATCCTCGTCGTCGGCTGTATCCTCACCTGAGCTGTCCGACTCGCTGGAGTCCTCCGGGTCATTCAATGCTTCGGACGGCTGGCCCTGTGCTGAACCCAACTCATGTCTAAAACCTTCATCACTCAAAGGTGGGTCACATTCACTCCAGGACCCAAGACCGCTTGCAAGGCACGAGTCCGCAGCCATCTCTGAGCACTCAACCTCTTCTTGATCTCGCCCCCAATCCGCTCCTGACTCATCGGTCGAACCCTGATGTCCTCCAGGGACACCTGAGCTCGCCTGAAAGCTAAAAGATGGCAGAGCTTCTTCTAGGAGAGGTGGCTCAGGCGGGAATGTCGCCTGCTTGGCATTTGTAAGCATCATCCCAGACCTTGTGGCGTCCGGCAAGAATGATCCAGCCTTGATCATCTGTAAGCAATCTTCTAATTCACAAGAGGCTGAGTCTGAACGCCTCGAGAATAACTCTCAAGGGTCCGACGGGACCCCAGTGAATGGTGCCCTAAAATGAGCCGTGTGGCTCTGACCACCCACTCTTGGCTAGCCAACTAAGAGTTGTGGCCTTCATTCCGTGTGACGTCGCCCCTCGGCGCAACTTCCTGGAACAAGAACCTCAAGAACTCTGTTGAGCCAAGCTAGAATTCGTCCACTCGTGGCTGAAGGAGAGCCGCGGGAGAAGAAGTCCTTGATGTCAGGTGCAGCTTCCAAGAATGACAAAGCCCAGGGTTTCTTTTCCAGACCATTTGCAGGAGCGACTAGGCACAGGCTCATATCCAGGCCCGCGTCCTTGCGACGATTCTTATGGTCAGTTGTTCTTGCTTCAAGATAACCCTGGCTGCCGATCATGTCGATTTCGAACTTGGTGATGCTTCGAATGTCTGAAACTCTTGCCCAACTGTAAACTTGGAACAAAAAAACTCCCACAGCAAAGCGGTCAATCTTGTTAAGTGAGTGCCCTGCAAGGACTTCTTCAAGGGTTGCGATCTCTTTCACAGATAAAACTCTCGATTGCTTTCGCTCGCGCTCGGAAAACTGAGCACCACGAACCAGGTCTTGAAGAAGAGGGTCGCGAGCCAAATTCTGTTGGCTGTCCACACCCAAGACATGAATCAAGAAATTCACTGTCTCCATGCACTCTCCCTGTTAACTTGGCTTGTCCAGAACACGCATGAACTCGACAATGATGGTTGCTCGCAATGGAAAAACCAAATCGCCATGCTTACCGGCCCATACAAACAAGTCGTGCACAAAATTGAACTCGCTTCAAAATTGTGCTGGTACTCCACCAAGAGCATCACTGACTATCGAAATTCCATTGCTTGGGTCTGCTTCCAAATATCGCGCGACAGCTAAGCCCTCTAAATTGTGGCTTAGGACAAGTATCCACCGCCGCAGAACATCTTCCCTCTCGGTTGAGCTTCTAGTCTCCAGCAAACTCTTCGGCGCCTTCTTAAGCACCTGACTGAAGATGGGGTGTTTCACGTGCCCATCTGGGGTAGTTCTAACAGCAGATTCTTCCGGCATGTCGCCTGGCAGGCTGACCTCTTTGATAAGCAAAGTTTTAGTCGTCGGCATATTCATTGTACTGGCCCCTTGAAGATGTCCCTAAAACACCCCACTTCCCAAGGCAGCCGCCGCTGTCAAAACTGTGGACGCTGCAGTACTGGGGAGGCCCCTGTGGCGCACACGTTTTCGAAGGGTTTTTCGGCCTCGAAGATTGTTGAGTGAGCTGAGCGCACGGAGTTT